GCACATGCGAACTAATTAGCTGTCAGGCTTCTGCTAGACAGAAAAAAACGTCCTCACGATCGGCTCTGTTGATGAGTCGTTGGAATTTCTCCCGGACCACGACGCAAATCCATTGGATCATGGCATCCTTCACGTGCTGATTCACTTGGTCAAAGCCTACCTTTGCTCAACGTGAGCGCAACGACCCAACAAACATCAGGAAAAAATGCAAACAACTTCTTTCAAAGGTGTTTTCCAAATGTTTCCAAATCTCCTTACAGTGAATTTCATCCACGTTCCTCACCCCAAATCCGACTGCTGGTTATATCCTGGACATTCTCTTCTATCCAGTGGCGGCTCAAGAATGGGGTACTTACTGGTACTGACTAAGTCAACTGGCAAGTTGGGACAAAACTTCCTGTTGTCCCCAAAAACACGTTCAAGCAATGCCAAACCATCCCGGATCCAAGCTACTCACCTCTCTACCCGGTCACCCACCCGACATTTCACCACCCCATCCACCCCATATCCCCCCCGGTCGCACCGGCCGCACCCAATTCGATCACGGAACCGTGGACTGGATCGTGGTCTTCACCTTCTGCTCGTCGCGCGGATCGAAGGCACGTGCAGCCGCCACGTTGACATCGCACAACGACTGGGTCACCTCCTCGATGCCGGCGTCGCCACGCGAGATCCTGCAAATGGTGGGCCGGCTGCCATGATGCCATGACGATATGGAGGCGCTGGTGAACACACCAACGACGAGATTCACCAACAAAATCGGTGTTGGAGGCTGAGCCCCTGCTGAGGAGGTGTATATTGAACCAAAGTATAGAAAAGTGTGTGCTGAATAGATGTGACAAGGATCTGCTTCGATAGCGAAGCCTTGCATGCTTCAAACTTGCGAACTCACTGTTTTGAAGGAGGCTACGGCTACAACTGACTTTGGATCTGCACCAGGGGAGCTTTAGACTCTAGACCCGAGCCTTGCTCAAGTTGTTCCTTTCTTTTTGTGCCGAGAAGCTGCTGCATCCTCCGGCATGACGAAGGTCACCGGGACCTGCAAGGAAAAAGCGACGTACTGCTCGTAGATGGTCCAGACCCTTTGCAAGTAGACTGGTTCCTCCCAGGTGTCCAACACTGCCACGACCTGCCCAATCCGTCGCAGATTCGTCTGGAAGACTTCTTCCAGATTGTCGCTGCCGGTGGCGGAGCCTTCGACGATGATGCGGAACTGGTTGTTCACGAAAAAGCACATGTAGAAGAAAACGTCCTGCATGTTTCTCAAGCACTGCCTCTACACCTCTACGAAGGGTCTTCTCAAGTAGAAATTTCACAAACACGAGATAGTCAACATAGCCATTTCTGCCAGTGCATAAACCCCAGCAAATCAAGGGCACTTAGAATCAATTTAAGACTCTCCATAACCTCCTTCCATCCCTTTTCACTCCAAAATCGACTTGATTCAGCTGAGAGGTCCTGAAACTCCATTGCTTGGGTTGATCTCCACATCTGCATGGCACTTTGGAGTTGTTGAAGTGAATACTTCCAACTCCAAGACCTCAAAAATTATCAGTCCATGCTCTAAATCTTACAAATCACCTCTCTACCAAGCGTGTTTCCCCTCAGATCTGGCATGGGCAGCTTGGGAAAGAAAACTGCTGTGACCAAAATCCCAAAACCCGATGGAAGAGACACCTACAATCCAAACAAGACTTCAGTGGCAATCCTGCACTATAGAGCATGTCCAGGTTGCGAAACACGTCCAAACAGAATGTCCCTTGGACTCCAACAAATGCGAACATATGTTGCTGGTCAAATTGCATGAAATGAGTCTGCAGCCGTCGATGCTCCGGCGAAAGCCAATCCACCAGCGCGCAGCCAGGTCTGCCATCTCGAGGGCAACGAATGTTGGATCCGAGCTTCTCGTCACCCTGCCAAAAGACCTCAACAAGAACGCGCCTAGTGGCAAAATGTTTAAAAGTAAGCAGAAGACACGTCTTGGCAATATGGCTAAAGCATGGTAAAGGAAAGCAGAAATGCGACCATGGAGATGCATGCGGCCTGGTGGCTTCCTTCAAGCGAAGAAAGGTTGGATTCTCTTCGCCAGACCAGTCATAGGCCAACCGTGCAAAATCGCCCATCAGATATGCAAGGCTCACACCCGCGTGGCTGCTGTGACGAGCCCGCATCCTTGACTGATGGAGCGATTGGACGTCAGGTGCCGTAATTACCTGTCACAATGAGTGGCATCCAGTGCTTCAGGATTCGTTCCAAGCCAAGGATTTGTAAACTTTGAAGTGACCCTGAATAATCTAAAAGACAATGTAGTGAATCATCGTCATATATAGTCAGTGAATCATCGCAAGCCTCCCTGAAAGCCACACCACCATATCCTCCATGTGGAATACACAAGTACCTGCTGTCCAAGCAACTCCTGCGCTCTTTGGCTCACTTCGCCCCAGCTCCATCCAAAGCTGCTCAGGGCCACTACAAACCTGCGCACGACCCGATCAAGGTCGACGAGTTCTCAATGGCACAAGCGTCATCTGAGCACCCGGCTAGCATCTCGATTCCTCGTTTTATTGTGAAACGTCAGGTTGTTTTGTTCGTAGAAAGTTGTCCTATAGGTGTGTTGGAGGCAGGGTATGTGCCACACGGTTGTGGAGGCAACAGTTCTTCAAAGCACTTCAAGGCTATATAATATACTATAAAGAAAAAAACGTGCGTGCCATATGCCACTCACTCAATCCTTCCAATGACTGGCAGATGGCTGATTGCCACTCAGGACTCCAGCCTGTTCACGGTCTCAGGCTTCTCATCCCACAGCTCGTCCTCAAACTCTTGAAGGATCTGACTCACCTCATGGTGTCATGGCCCGGTGCATGGCGAGCGACGAAGTCATCCATGCGCAGTTAGCGGATGTTCTGAACTTCACGGATCATTCTTGAATATACTTGATGCACACAGAGATAGATGGACAAAGAAAAGTGATGAAACGACTAAAACAGGAAGAAACTCGTTTATATTGATTCCATGCAAAGGTGAAGGTTTCGCTTGTTCAACATGTGCTGGATCCTTCAACCCGACCTCCTCTTGGCGGATCTCTGTTCGCTTCCGTCGATGCCTCTTGGCCATGTGGTGCAGGAGGAAGACGATGCCGGAGGAGAGGGCCAGCAAGCCGATGATCAACACAAGGTGCCACCAAACACCTTGGTCAAATCCTTTGAGACCGCCAAATGACAGCCTCTGGCTTCTTCAATCGAGAAAAAGCTACAAGAATCAGAACGTAACAGGAGACTGAAAAAAAATGTGGACAGAAGAGAAAGTTGGCACAGGATGCATCATCTTGAAGCACCTGTGTGAATGCTCGTCTAACAGCGTGTCTACTTCTTGCGTCAAGCATGCAACAAAGTTATGAGATAAACTGTTCAATCCAGGCGCAGGTGTTGTCCAGCAAGAGAAAGGGAAATGAACAGGACCGGCACGTATCACCATCGGAATAATGGCCAGGAGCGCATGCCCTGCAGTCAGTGCGGCCTTAGTGAAGAACATCTTGCACCTTCAAACGACAGTCCTTCAACCCCTCAAACCAGGACAAATAAGTTCTGTATTGACTCAGAAAAACAGGTGTAAGTGGTGTAACTACTATGTGTGTCACTGTGTAACCAAAAGTTTCGGAGAGTTGGGCACATCTGAAAGTGGATCATGACAACTGCTTCACTGATCTTTGGATTCCAACAGTAGAGTCTTAGAGAGCACGTGATGGAACTGAAAGAAGTTACTTGAGCACAGCCAGTTGAGATGGATGATGTAGTGAACTCCTCTGAAAAATAGACACCCGCCTGAACCCTCCAAAACACAGCAAATATTATGGTTTGTCCCTTCTCAACCCATGTACCTTCTTTCAACGGGTGGAAGCATCCACGAGTACTTGGATGTAGTTTGGTGATCTATCCAGATCACTCAACCAACCAACTAGACTCATCTGTACTCAACTTGGACGGCGGCCTCATTCTTCCAATCAACTCACCCAGTGGCTCGGAAGCACAGGAACCTCTCCAGGTGGACAGTCTTCACATCGCACAGCACCAGCTTGGGCAAAGCCTGGCCGATGAAAAACCCGATCACCGACCGGTCGTCACCACAAGAGGTCGAAACCCCTAGCACCTGTCGGGACAACGGCCAGGTGGCCCCACCGTCGGAACTCTCATGGAACTCGATCTCTTTCGGAGCCTGAGTGGACCTCTTGATAGCCTCTGCATGCCTCTGCATCTGAGCATCCTGTAGACCAGGCTGGACCAACCGAGACTTATCCCCACGACTCGTCGAGCCCAAAGTGGAGGGCTACGGAAGGGTATGAGGTACAAAGAGGTTGTACAAACAAACCGCGTGACCACTCAGAGACTGCCCTTGAACTTTGAACAACCTAGTGAGCTTTTCACATGTTTGAAAGGCAAAACGGGTGCAAGAAACATGCTCAAGAAAGAGTACAAGTACAACTGCTAGACCCCTCCGACCTCGCTGAAACACCGAAACTCGCTGAAACGTCCTCACCAACGGGTTTCGCCTGAGGCGCATGCTTCACAACGATCATCCTTGGGAGCTTTTCCAGCTGCACAGCTCCGGCATTCCAAGTCCTCAGATCCACAAAGGTCTTCCGAAACACCGTCTTTATCCGTTTTTTCGCCTACCCAAACGCTCCTGGACCCTCATATGCCCTCATATGGAGAGGGCCGGACCCTCAAATCCCTAGTAATCAAGGGCTGTTTGGAGCGTCTGGGTACTTGGCTTCTGACAGGTTCTTCGATGTTCTTCGAAGAACCCCCTACCCATCCTACCCTCTCGGTGTTTCTGTGTGGTGCTTTGGCATTTTGGGGCAAACACACGCACCGCTCGCTGTCGACCCTTTGGAAAGAAGACAGAACATGTATTCAACTTCTTGACCTATCAATTATATATCATGTTTTACTGGAGACATGCGACAGGGATTGAGCTTGTGCAAAGATCTCAGAAAACTGGCGGATCTCTTGATCACGGAACCCGTGGAATCTTGCTAAATCGAACAAAGTCTTTCTTAACTAGAAAGAACGGGGAGCAACACGACATTTTTTGCACACTCTTGCAGCTCCAAGCGACAGGCTCCATGCTCCGAACGGGAACCTCATTGGGAGCAGCGCACCTGCAACAGGAGGCCGCCGTCACCGTCGCCCTCACGGCCGAGGCGTTGGGTCTCCTCGTCGCCGTCCACGTCGTTCCCGCGGGGCACGAGAAGGTGCGGCACGAGGCCCTGCGAAACGCCAAGTAGCTTGGACCCGATCCTCCAGATGTGGTGGGAGTGGGGGTGGTGGGGGCGAAATGGTAACATATGAACAGGCCGCGCCGGTGCAGAAACCTGATATAAAGGCAACCTGATATATGTGAGCTGTGTCACAAGAAACCTGAGCCATATACTGTCGAAACAACTATTATATGACACCAAGCTAGCTTTTGTGATGTGACAAGACTTTCAAGTGGGAACTTGACCCAACCGACCATGTCACCATGTCCTATCAAGCTGAGCTCACTCTGGTCGTTCATGTCGTCCATCAGCCAGCAGCGCCCAGAGTCTTCCAGAAGGAAAGCACCACACTCCAAGTCTTTGCATCTCTCGACACATGCTCGAAAGCCCACAGCAGTTGTCAGACTTGCATTTCGATCATCCCAAGCACCTCTCCCAAGCTCAATGAAGCCGGAGTTCACTGGCCGACAGGCCTCGTCCACACATGCCAAGTTCGTGTTTTGACAAGGGCAACTGGGACAGAGTTGGTCTGACCAAGTCTGTCGAATGCTGGCAGGCAAACCCCAAGCTTCGGAACTGAGACGCAACATGCAAGTTGACATGCCTGAACCTGTGAAAGCTTCGGCCATAGCTTGGGCATCAGGGATTGATGTCAAGTTCCATGTCGAGACAGACTGATCAAAACTTTCGGCCCCTGTAAACATACGATACATGTCTGTGGCGGCTGACGTGTCCCACAATCCAACTGGCTGGTCGAAGGAGCTGGCACGGAAAAACATTCCGGAGAAGTTTGTGACAGCCTTGGTGTCCCAAGGATTCAGCGGCTGGTCAAAGGCGACAGCTCCTTCAAACATGTGATGCATGTCATTTACCTGCAAGGTGTTCCATCCACCAATGGGCTGGTCGAAAGACACCGCTCCTGTGAACATTGAGGACATGTCCATGACAGCAGAGGTATTCCATGACCCAATGGGTTGGTTGAACTTGAAAGCCTTGTAGAACATGGCCTTCATGTCTCGGACATTGCCAGTCTCCCAAGCACCGATTGGCTGGTCAAAGGATCTGGCCCCCCCAGAACATTTGTCGCATGTTCTTCACTGCCGAGGTCTTCCAGGACCCGATGGACTGGTTGAATACCACTGCATGCGTGAACAAATTCTTCAAGTTTCTGACATTGCCAGTGTTCCAAGCACCGATGGGCTGGTCAAAGGAGCTGGCTCCGTA